TGATTTGAGTGTGTATTATGTTAGTGTACAGTAATAAATTTTGTTTGGTGTTGTCATGTGTACTGCAAGATTGGAAAAAATAAAAACGTGGGTCGCGACTGTGAAAACACAGCATTTGTGAGTGTATATACATGCTTACACTTGTGTAAAGCTTTAAGGACACAAGTCATCCACGGAAACGTAATATAAATGTATAAAAGTTAACCTAACCTGTCATTAGTATTTATGTTTATTGAACACTGTGTTTTGAGAAATAGATAGATGTCAGCAGTACTTGTGTTTCTCAAGCTGCACACAAGTACAAGCATGTATATGCAATTATATAGCCTGTGTTATTACAGTCGAAATCAATGTTTTTATTTTTTCCAATTTTGTAGTACACATAACAACACCATAAAAAATTTTTTTTTGCACACTAACATAATACACGATAAAATCACTGATTTATTTGATCAATCCACTTTTAATAACCTTTTTTTATAATTTATTAAAAAAATTTCCTGTAAGGCTGCATGCATTCTGGCGATCTTAGCGAGGGACAATTTCTCTCACTCGACGGCGCCACCTGACATAGACGCATAGCGAATATGTACAGTTATTATTGTGCTAAACAACTACTGATGTTTATAGTTTATTACAAGGCTCAAAAAAGACTCTATACGGACAATGTTTTTCAAACCTAATTCTTGAAGTCAATAAGTGACGCTGGAAAAACACTCAGTGGGATTAAGGGAACCCTAATTCAGCTAGAAGCAGTTTTACGAAAAATGCCATATGCACACCATAGAACTCTTGGATTGCAACTGCTTTGGATGGCTTTCGACAAGGAGCAAGAGTTGGAACTAGTTAAGTGAAGTATATTTAAGCAGTAAGAATCATGAAATTCGTCTTCTTCTTGAGATGATATATTTTTATTAATCAAACGATAAAAGGAAGATCATTGCAATGTGTTAGTTATATATAACATTATTTGCAAATGCTTCGTACTAAAATTCATTCTCGTCTGATTTATCCCGTTTCCATTTAACAGTTCTTTTCATTAAAAAATATTGAGCTAAAGTTTCTCTACAGCAGTTGCTCGATCGGCTTTGTGTTTTTATCTTCTCTACTCTATCTCTATGGTTTAACCTTAACGTCTGTTTGAAACCGGAAACTCACAAGTGTGGAGTTAGTACTTCTCAAACCTGGAAGTGCACTTTCAACGTTGTTTCAGCTGCTGTTTTCAAATTTTTATACATTTGTTTCTAATGAAAAACTTTAAGAGATTCTAAATAAAATTCATTTTTTTTACATTAAAGGACTAGAACTCCAGATCGGCCGTTATGGCATCAGCAGCCTTTTTTCTCGAGATTTTAGTTATGCCCCATAGAGCAAGTAGTGTTAGTATCGGTGGATTGTGGGAAGCTTCAATATGTATGAATGCATTATTCTAGCGAAAACCGTATATTCCGTGGGCCATTTCATAACAAAGTCACATGGGTAAAATAGAATTTAGATCATGAAAAAGTTTTCCTTTAGTTTTAGATGCAAAAAAGGGGCTAAAATAGCGTTACCGGCTTACGTCTCATTACGAAATTTGCAGTTTCAACGACACCTGGACGCAAAATGCAGAGCTTTTTATTTTTCTACGGCAAGGGACCTTGAATTATGTAACGCAAACGTCATTTTCACGCATTTTGAAAAACCAAAAATATTGTGCCTAAGGATTTAATAGTGTTTAAGTTGCAGGATCGAAATCTAAGAAATTTAACGTTTTAACAGAGAATGTGCTCACAACTGCAAAAAAATAAACTTAGACGTTCTAATTTCTATGTTTTATATTCTACAGCAGTCAACGATGTTGAAGAAATTTTTTCCGATTTTTCCAACCTGCTAAACCACTACTACAGGCTCTCGAATTTGAAACTGTTCAAATTTTTATCTCCTCAAAATAAAAACTAAGAGCTCGTATCACTAAGGAATGTCATACAACTTTTTGAAGCGTTCAGTTGTCGACTCGGAAGATGGTGGGTTAAAATGAGGCTGTGTTGTATGTGATATGAGTGCAAAGGCAAAGTATGATTTCCATTTGGTGCATCATAATCTAGTTTTTTCAACGATTTAACAAGAGCCTGTAATGCTCTTTTTATTGTTCAGAGCCCATAACGCTATCCTTTAACGATTTAAAACGCTTTGTATCTTCGTTTAATGTTGCATTATCGACTCGCATAGTGGTATGGTATGGTATGGTATTTGGCTTTCGCTATATTAAAGACCTTTTTGCTTTTAAATTGTGGCCATAACTGCATGGAGTGCAAGTCTTTCATGCGAGCCTGTTGCAAAGTTCCGCTCAGACGACTCGGTTATTCATCCTATTGGGTACTATTTTCGAGGCGCAGCGATTGTCTCAAGCATACCCCAGCTATTATCAAATTTAATGGAAAGATATTTTAATAACCATCTAACTAGCTGCACCGACTTCCTTATAACCGACAGTCACTTTACCCGATAAGCTGTTATCCAGGTGTCAGCTTTCCTTTGAAAAGGAAGCCCCTGGAGCTTCATTTTCGACGGGATTTGAACCCATGACCCCTTGAGTATCTCCGGCAAGGAAGCCAGTGACTTTATCTCAGTTATAATAAGATTTCGTACGAGCCCGTAACGCTCCTATTTTTTTTAAATAAAATAAGAAAGTCGTCGTAAAAATTTTTCTCGTGAATGCTTAGCAGGGCCCAAAAAGTTTCAGCTTATTATGGTCAGGGACAATACGAAAAAAATATTTTAACAATTCAAAATCTCTTTAAAGTGTTTGTTCATTCTGGCCCTTGAAGTATGCCGATTTCTGTAAAATGATCCACATTTGTATAACTTTGCATCGCTTCGCTGGTCACACGATGGCTCTGCGTAGTTAGATCATCCTAACCGCTAGTAGAGTGAGGAACTGCATAAACTTTTCTGAATCAATTTTATCTTATACATATGCCACGATTTTAGCCGTTACTGCCTCTTATGCCTCACTTTCTTTCCACAGGATAACTTGCCGTCTTATATACACTATAAAGGGGTGCGTGGCTGTTTCCAGAAGTTACTGATTGACTTTGCTATTTTTGGGACTAACTGAAAAAATTTATTGACATATAAGACATATAGACTGCTTGTTCCTATAAATATATGGTGCTAAAGCTCGAGTAAAAATAGATGCAGCATTAAGCGTGCACATCTGCTTTTTTCGCACGTTGCCAGTGGTTCAGTCGAGGAAATCCCTGAACGTTGATAATGTGCGAAAGAGGCAGATACCCACGCTTGGTGATGTGTCTACATTCATGTCAGCATCGTTCATAGCAACGAGCAGTCTATGGTTCTTATAAGATTATGGGATAATTTTCGTCTGCGCAAAAAGATATAATAGAACGCACCATAGGCCAAATCTTGCGATGTACATAAAGAGAGAGATAACTACCAGCGAGTCCTTCGGTGTCCTTGTCTAATGAGTGTATATACATTTGATCAGCTGCATATAGGTAAGTACACAATTTTACTAACTTCATAGAAGCTAACTAGAGAAAAGTCGATACGCATGTATTCATTAGACAAAGACACACGTTGACTTGCAGTTAGAATTTTCTTTCGCTCTGCATATCATTAAATCGCATTCATGGCAAATATCAGAGGGAAAAAAGGAGAATAATATTATAATATATTATGCTTTTTCGAAAACATTGGTTGAGATGTTTCTGAAAAAGTATAGAAGATCGGTACACTACTTTTTTCTGCTAATATTCTTAATATTTTTGTTATTCCATAATTCTTTGCTTATATCGCAATCATCGAATTTGCATGTGAAAGATATAAGAAAAAATGTATGCGTATAAATATGTTTCTCTCTACTGCTTTTACGGCCCATGGAGTCCCGAAAACGGTGTCTTCGGGTACAATATTTTTTTCCACCCTTTATTTATCTATGATGGTAACGCCAACTGACTATGGGGGGGCGGGAAAGGATAACTTAAACCTCGAGAGAAAAAAGTGCAGATACAAAAACGGCCGATCTGGCTTTTTATGCAAGATGAGTATAATCTATATTCTTTTAACGTGATCAGGAGATGTGCATCAGAAGAATTTGTCCTAGTATAAACAACTTTACAAATGGACACCCGGTCAGGAATCAGGAACGCAACGATTAGTTGGAAGCGTTAGTCATCCCCTACTTCATCCCATCCTTCTTCGTTTTCCATTCATAGTGCCCTAAGTATAGTGCCTATAGAACAGAGTCAAATGCATAGCACTACAATAAAAAAAATCTATATTTTCAGGTACAAGTATCCATTAAGAGTAAATGGTCCAAGTACTGCGCGTGGAAATTTTCGGCTATGCTAAATTATTTATTCCTCTATGTTCTAAGGTGTAAATTAAAGTAATTTTATTTGATCGGCATCTTGTGCGATTAATACGAAAAACTTTGTCTATTGTGTTGCTTACATTTTTTTTAAAATAATTATTTTAGGGTTGATATCACTTGCTTCTATTACTACGCACGGTTATAAAATTTGCACCAGTTACTGCACGCCAAAATACTGCGTAGGTATCTCCAATAAGGTTTTCATGTTGAGGCTTGGATCCAATTACTGTGCACCAATTACTGCGAACAGCCACAAAGTTTTGTAAGTTAGATTGATTGAAAATTATATAATTAAATAATTATGTATTTCATGATGTCAAGTATTGAACATAATTCTAGATTAAACGTTATTAATGTCCAAACATGTTATAATGCTCGAGTCCAAGAGTTTTTCAGTCTGTTTTTTTTATTTTTTATTATTGACAAGTAGACAGTAATTGGTGCCTGTGCGGTAATTGAGTCATTAACCCCTATATATTTTTCTATCATTATGTACATATTAAAAGATAATTAGCTACAAAATTTAGCTATTAATACAACTGTAATAACTGTTATAATCACCTACAATGTAGCTGTGAAAATCTGTTTCTTAAATAAGGATTATAGAAAATATAAAATGCACCTCCATCCTGGTGAAGAAAATTTCCACATTTGAATTCTTCAAAATAACTAGGAGCTGCAGCAGACGCTCTAACTGCTTCCCACAACTTATGTTTGTAGGATCCTGCATACTGACTTTCTATACCAATTGGTATTGAGTAGTTTCTGAAGACGTATGCCATCACCCTTTCGTGATTGACTATAGCAGAAACAGCTGAGAACTATTATTAAATTACCATTAAATAACACTTTGATATCATATGCAAATATAACAAAAATAAAAGTAACTACTTTTGGTGTATTCGGGTCCCGTGTGGTTTTAATTAAATTTTTTATGCCCAAATTTTCCTGCAACATTTGTTCCCACAACTCCGTATTATAATATGCGTGGCTCCATACTAGGTTACTGGTACCTCGTAATGTGCTCTGCGTGAATATTTTTGCACTTAATTCTTTATACAGTTCTGAAATTTCATCTAGTGATTTCCTTTGGTGGCTTCCTAAAAATATCGTTTTAAACTTATTAACTAAGGACGTAATATGTTTTTAAGGTTATATTAAAGTAACATTTAAAAAAATGTATGGTAAAAAACTTTTAACATCTTTTAAATTATTCAATACTAAAACTACTAATCAAATTGGGAACCATGGCTGTACTAAAAAACCATTTATGTTGTATAATGTTATTGACTGTTGGATCGAAGTGCCAACTTAGATTTGCCTTAAAGAACATGCCAACTTGGGGAAATATTTTTTTAAGTTATATGTTTGTGAAAACGTTCTGCATTAGAGTAAACCAACGATTCCAGAATTATGAAAATTTTTTCGGTTTATGTCTTATCGTAGTTTGCTAGTGCAATAAATTTGAAAATAAAATAAAACAAATATATGAACATGTTTTGGTGGATGCCACGGTCCGTGAAAGATATTAAAGTGTAAGTAAATTTTACAAGAATTATGAGGGGAGCGGTGGGAGGCGGTAAAGGGTCAAGGAAAATGCTGCAGAACAGTAGGGGTATGTAACGGGGCCACTGGGGACTGTGAGGGTCCAGACAAAAAGTAAGCTAAGCTGAAATAAGAGAGAAAACGCCGGAGTTTTACTTTGTTTTGTGGGGGGCAGTGGGGGATAAATGAGTGTATGTGGGGGGTTGTGGACGGCTAAAGGTATTTTGGCAGTTTGTGTGGAATGCTCTATACAGACGACTAACTTATATAAAAAAATATATATCTTTCTATATAATATAGTTATTTAGATGGAAAATTTCGCACAAATTTCCTACGATCCGTCCACAGCCAACACACAGTTTTCCACATAACAAGGTAAAATTTAACCGCTTGTACCGTTATATTGACATTTTAAATTGGTTTTTAGAAACCTCTCACAGCCCCCTGCATATCCTCCATAGCCTCCCACATACTTTTTCTTGTTCCTCCATAGCTCTCTATGAACTGAGTATCAATAAGTTATATTTTCTACACAATAATTTATACTTAATTTAAAAGATTATTTTTTTAATCTACTATTCTACACAGCTAAGAAGGCGAATAGATGGACTTTGTACATATTGATAAATATTGAATTAATGTTGATGTATGTAATAATAAATGTGTAACACATTTAAAATCGTAACTTGGCAAAGATTTAATTGTTTTAATTCATTAATGAGTATAAATTTCTCGGTGCATTTAACTGTTAACGTTAATATTATTATAAAACAATGTGGAATTCATTCTTTCTTATAGGAATTAATATAACATGACACAATTACATAAAAAAATAAAAACTTTACACCATTATTAAGTAATGCTTACAGTAGAAGTATCGTTTAACTTTAACATGTTATGTAAGTTACCAATAAAATACGGCTATATCGTAACCGTAAAAAAGGCAAGACCCTTCGTTATCACCATGACAAATGTGTACATTAATATATAATGATCAACTTTGCATTAATATATATATTCCTACATTATACAATTGTATAGACCAAAGAAAGTCTCAATGCCCCTCACTTCTTCTAAGCCCCCCTTAGCTACCCGTTAATTAACATAGTTATTCGCTTATCTTTGCGTGATTTTTGATACAATTATATTAGAGCACGCTCTCCCTCGCTTTCTCTAAGCTCCCTTCAGCTCCCCCTCAGAACCCCTCTTTACTTCCTCCTGCACCTCCCAATAATATATGTATAAATAATATATTATGTAAATACATAATATATCTACATATATATAAATATATTAATGTTGTCATCTGTTTTATCAACTCCTATATATACTAGTGAGGCTGACGCCCCCCTGCGCGCTCCGCGCGCTAACCCCCCACTAACAGATTGAGTAGACATATTAACAACATTACTTATGTAATTATCAATGCAGGCTGAGAATGAGTTCACAACAGCAGAATACGCGACTCACAAAGTTGATAAAATAGATACGCGAGTTGATAAAACAGATGACAACATGAATATTATATTTCCAATAGAAGTTTTAAACAATATCAGAGAAGGTCTTCCACCACAAGAATTAAAATTAAAAATAAATACTATAGTAATGTTAATAAGAAACTTAAATGTATTAGATGGTCTTTGTAATGGCACAAGATTAAAAGTAACAAAATCCTTTAAGTTTAATATAGAAGCACAAACAATAACGGAAGAAGAAAAGAAGCAAAGTTTATGTTTCTAGAATAACATTGAATACTGGTATTAGCATTTTCTATGACTATCAACAATTCACAAAGACAGAGTTTTGATTCCTTAGGATTGTATATTAAAAAACGTTATTCTCTCACGGACAATTATATGTTGCTTCATGAAGATGTAAGAATCTAAAAAGAATTTTTATTCAAATTGAATCCGAGAATAAATCAGAAATTGAAAATATTGTTTAGCAAGAAATTTTTCAGTAATTCAAAAATATGTAACTTCAAAGATCGTCACATTTAAACAGACATATGTTAGTTCATAAGAACCATGAAAAAAAATATGTGAAAAATGTGGAAAGGCTTTTAAAAGAATAGATGGGTTAAAACGACACATGAAATGTCACAACATTAAATTAACAGAATGAATTATTGTTTCAAAAGCTTAATTGTGTTTATCTATTTCCTTTTACCTTCTACTGAATTCCGTCTTTTTGTAAATAAAGTCCTCAGTTAATCAAGAATTTTATATTTGGGTAATAGACCAGAAAGAGATTCAAAATGTAAAAGTTCAATCAAGTTAAATAAATAATGGTCCTTCAGAGACATATAGTGACTAAGGGAGAGAGTATAGACAGAGGGGGACCTATGATCAGTGACTTGAAAAACCCTAAAAACGAGGTATGACTTGGATACTAAATTACATATATTTTTTAACATTTCAGATGGTAAAATATTCTATAAATAAGTATTTTTGGGGGGAGGT